CTACTATTTCTACTACTACTTCTACTATTTCTACTACTACTACTACTACTTCTACTATTTCTACTACTACTATCTGTACTACTACTACCACCACCACCACCACCACCAACACTACCACTACCACCTCTGATGATTATCATGATGATGATGACATCTATAAGGTTCCTCATCATGGTGTGGATGTGGCCCTGGGTTCTTAAAGGTTATGTCAGCAACAATGATGATGAAAACAAGTACAACGATCATGACAATGATAACAACAACAGCTATCATTTATACAGAACTTTAAGGTCTGCAAAGAAGTTGGCAGGTCCAACTAAGCTAGAAAGACTTGGAGTTTGAACTTAGCAACAGATGACATGTCTGCTGTCCAAGGACCAGCCTGGCTAACTTCTGAGAAATTCATTACCAGGTTGGCCAAGTGGTGATGAATGTTTCTGGTTGCAAGATCTTTTAAAGGCTATCTATAAAGCCAAAGAGGGTGTGGAATCTGTGTTGGTGGAAGGAGCACACATTTGAATGGAATTAGGGATCCCTAAAATACAGAAGCTCCCCCTGCCTGGCATGTTCTCCCTCCTCAACTCTGCCTTCTAGAATCCCTGCTTTCTTTAGTGTCAGTTCAAATGTCACCTTCAGTAGGACGTTTATTTCTGGGTCCCTCAGCTGTTAGAGCCTTCCCTTTTAAGGTTCCCTTTCATCTACTCTCTATATATTTTGTATGTGCCTAGATATATACATGCTGTTTCTCCCCACTAGAATGTAAGCTCCTTGAGGGCAGGGATCATTTCTGCCTTTCCTTGTGTCCCCAGAGCTTAGCAGAGTACATGGCACATAGTAAGCACTTAAAAAATTCTTGGTGATTGACCAAAGTAAATATAAACAACTGAATTTAAATTTCACAATTATATTTGGTAATTTAATTTACACTTAATAATTTAAATTTCATAATTTAAATAATGACGATTTTTGTTATCAAAAGAGGTGATCAAAATAATCAATGACTACTGATCCATATGCCTACTTTCCCATTTCTACAAAATTTTTAATGGCCATATATTGGCCATATATACATGCTGTGAGGAAGCACCTAATGAAAGTCTGAGAAGGGAACCTGGCAGGCTTTTGTAAATGATTATTCTACACCCACATCTTTACCATGTCACAGCTGACTGAAGGGTGCAGCGCTCCCTGGCCCCATTGTTTGTGGACTAGAAAGAAATAGCATTTGATCCAAGATAGTGAAGCACCTCTCTGAAGGTTCTCGTCCAACAAAGTGTTCCCTGTGCATTTGTCAAAATCATTCAATATTTCTTAAAAGATGTGACAGAGATAACTTTGTTTGATGATTGTTTGATTATAAATATCACCTGGAGCATCTCACAGGGGACCGTGTGCTTACCAAAGGTATTTGTCACCATCCTGGAGGGTGTCCAGGGCACGGTCCAAATAGGAGAGGGATTTTCTATAGATGGTGACATTGACTAGAGGCTCCTGTTTCTGGATGACATTGAGACAGCATTGTACAGCCTCCTAACTGAGATCTGAAATCACTTAAAAGGGGGTAGGCTTAACTATCAACACAGAAAAAACCAATTGGATAAAGAATGACTATTGTAGGCACTGGCATATAGCTGGATGGATGATATGCTATACAGTGGCACATATAGGATTATAGACCAGAGACCTAGGGCTAGGAAGGGCCTTACCTTTTAGATAAAGATGAGGAAAGTTAAGTAATGTGCCCAAGGTCATACAGATAGGAAGTTAGTCAGTCAATAAACATTTATTAAACCCCTACTACGTGCTAGACACTGGGCTAAGCACTGGGAATACAAAGAAAGACAAAAGACAGTCCCTTCAAGACTTATGTGACCTCATTCAAAGTGAAGTGAACAGAACCAGAAGAACATTGTTCACAGTAACAGCAATATTATAAGGATGATCAGCTGTGAAAGACTTAGCTACTCTGATCAATACAATGATCCAAGACAATTCCAAAGGACCCACAATGAAAAATGCTATCCGCCTCCAGACAAAGAACTAATGGAGTCTGAATGCAGATTGAAATATACTTTTTAAAATTTTTTCTCTTTCTTTCTTTCTTTCTTTCTTTCTTTCTTTCTTTCTTTCTTTCTTTCTTTCTTTCT